ACATTTGATACTCTTGGTCTTTTAACACTATGGATCCTCACTGTAGCAAAACTAATTTTTAGCCATTGATAAAACTTGCTGACACACAGTAGCAGAACCTGTGTCTTAGTCTGAATTGATTGGAAAAACCCCAGCTCTCATGATCTGCTTCCTTGGTCACATCTAAAACCAATTTACATCATTAACAGCAGATGTATATATATCCTGAGGGAATTTATTCTTTTAAAGACATCTACTTAACCTGTAGGGAAGGTAAACAGGAGAGATGAAGCTGGCATTATGAAAGTTAAATCCTTGTAATGTCTTTCCTGATTCTTGCTAATGCATCTCAGAATTGAAACACTGAGTTGACATTTGTTAGGATCTATTATTGCATGTAGGTGGCAGCAGTTTTGGGACTTCTACATAGGTCTTAACTTTTATGAGTGCTTATGCTAACGTCTCTTAGAAGTGAATATGTAAATCATTCCTTACAACGCTCAAGTTTTACTTAAGTCACACCAATTTGTAAATAACTGAGGCCAACCAACATAGTGTCACAATTATGCCACTTCAATTGTTCATCATTCCACATTCTACACATATTATTTGCTTGCTCAAAGATTGCCAGGCACTATGTTGCTGCAGGGGGCACAATTGTGAATGAAATGATTGAGGGTAGATACAGGAAAGAATGAAACTCTTGTAGTCTGTGCCCATTTGTATAACTGGAGAACAAATAAAGCAAAACTGGAGAGAAATGCTAGGTCTGTGAGACTTTTCCATTAGCTCTTCCAAGAGTAGGTGGAAGTTAAGAAGCTGGAGTTGAGGGTCTGCCACGCTGAGTGGATGGAGCGTGGATGGAAGAGCATTCCAACCAAAGTCAATGGACAGACATGGAGTTATTTACATAGGCAGCGGGAGCCATGTCTGGGCTCTGACATGCTGCTTATCTATTTAGAACACTCATTCCAAACCCCTTTTAATGATTTAGATCTAAACGGTCCCTCTAAAGTCTCACATTTGGAGGTGGGGCCTGGTCAGAAGGGGCAGGCTACTGGGGGTATGACTTAGAAGGGGGTCTTCGCCCTGGCCCCCTCTTCGTTCTCTGCTCCCTGGTTGCCATGATATGAGCAGCTTTCCTTCCACCATGTGGTTTCTGTGTTGGAGCCAGCTGACCATGGAGTGAACCCACTGAAACTGTGAGCCCAAATAAACCTCTCCTTTAAGTTGTGTGTGTTGGAGAATTTGTTCCAGTGACAGAAAGCTGACCAATACAGACAATCCTCTCTTGCCTAATATGGCTACTTCATCTCATCTCTCAGGTAACTTCATTTGTAGTTCTTCCATGACATATAAAGTCTGGTTTGCAGTGCCTTTTTATGTGCTTACTATCCTGAACTTCTTCTAACAGTGCAAGCATAAATTCAAATGTCAAATTTTAAATGCTAATTTCACCCGTAAATACTAAGTTCCTTGAGGACAGGGACTACAAGACCATTTCACTCACAGTAATTGCTCTGCTACCTGGCACAGCCTATGGAATATAATAAACTCTCAGTATTTATTGAAATAAAGACTGAATAAATAAATGCATGGAGTCAGGCTATGTAAATCGAGAGGTAATTTTATCCCAAAGCTGACCAAGTTTCTTTTAGAATGCTATTAACCACGGATTTTTTTTTTATAGCTTTCCTTTCTCATAAAACTTGATGTTCTCCAAAGGACATTTATAAGTGTTTTAAAAATTTGCTTGAGATGGAAGCTGAGACTTTTTCCCCTCATAGGTTCTCATTAAAATGATTTGAAATTATGCAAAACACCAACCATCTCATGGCAAAAGTATGGGGATCTAGGTTTATTAGCAGAGATGTCATCCTATTAGGATGGATGGGTGGAAGCACAGTAACAGGGAGAGTGTACTGGGGAGTGCTTCAGGCTGGTTCACTTGTCAGGCGGGACTGCACTGGACAAGAAGCTAGCGTGTGGATTAAAGTCTAGACATGCTTGTGGCTTGGGGTTGGTAAAGACGGAGGCCACAAGGGAGAAGGGCAGTTGCAAAACCAGCAGATTCATCCAAGATTTATCTGTGGAATTCTCGGTCAGTCACATCCACCCTCCCTTTATGGTCCCATTCACAGTGTGATAGACAAACTCTCCAGAAAATCACCTCCAAATGTGAACTCGCAGGGATAAACCAAGACTTCTTAAGTGCAGTGGTGGCTCGGAGTAAAGTCTTTCTTATTCTGGCCCCTGTGGAGCTCACAGTCTAAATCTGCTTATTCTCTCATTCTAATTCCACGTAGCGTAGAGCGAGCTGCTGGTGCTAAGCCCATCCATGTCCAAAGACATCAGACCTCCCATCAAGAAAGAAGCCTGTGAGGAAGCAAGCCTACAAACACACGGTGGGTGAAATCCATGCCATCTACTCAGAAAAGTCAGGATACTTTTCAGTCCTTTCATATAAATAAGCCAAGAGATCCAGAGCAAGAAAGAAATCACGGCAGGAATGGGAACCATCAAGGTTACCGAGAACAAAAGTTCAGAATAAAACTGGCTGCCAAACTGCAAAAGAAAAGTTACCAGGACAACAAGATGACAAAGAACAGCCCATCCTAGAGAAAGAGTGTTTATTCATGAACAGAAGAGAATATTCTGTATATGCTACAATTAGGGAAAAAGATTGAACTTACAAAAATGGAAAATCTGATTGCTACAGCAGAGACTGCTAGTAGTCATCAACTGAACACAAAATTTGTGCATTTCCTTCCAAAATGCAATTATTTTGGGGGAAGCAGTTTTTAATCAGGAGCTATATCTTAAAGTGTCTCCACTCCTTCTGCCCCACTGCATGTAGGTGAGGCCTATTGGCCAATGGGATGTGAGAAGAAGATACATACAACATTTATGTGTCACGGCCATTGAGAATCAGATTTGCTTCCTTTTCCTCCTCCTTCTGGCTGAATATAGGGGATTGTGTGTGGCAGACTGGGTGATGGTAGAAAGGTAGAAACAGTCCAAAGTTCTGAATCTTCCTATAGGAGGAGCTGCCAGCTGAACAATGACACCTGTGTTTAAATGTTGATTAAGGTAAGACACTGAAATTTGGATGTTTATTTATTACAGCAGCAATCTCACCCTAACGAATGCTACTGGTAAGAATTTTTTAAAAAACCAGTAGAAATATGGGAAAATAAGCTGAAGAAATCTAGAATCTAGAACATTTAGAGAGACACAGAAAATTTGGGAACATACAGATGACCTAAGGGATTGATCCGGAAGTTCTAGGCACTAAAAAGGATTTCATAAGGAACAATATAGAAAAGCAAAGAAGGAAAATTTTCTGTAGATACACTAGGTAAAATTTTTCTAGGGTTAAAAATCAAGTGTTTAAATCAAGAAGGATCAATAAGATCTGAATAGAGTAGAACAGTAAGACCCCAAACTTAGATGCAATGTGATAAAAAATATAGTGACTATTTAGAGTTTTAAAAATTCATTACAGGAAAAACACTGCCATAATCCCTCTCAACACACCCTCCCTCCCTTCAAACACACTTATCCCATCAATCTGCCACATTCTGAAGCTGGTCTGGAAGTCCTCTTTTGTGAGTGTCTTTGGTTGCCCTGTCATGGCTGCCTGGGTGTCCTAAATCAATTCAAAACTTTTACCTTTCACTGTCATGTTGGCTTTGAGGAAGACCCAGGAGTTGCATGGTGCCAGATCTGGTGAATAAAGTGGATGATGTTTTTATGAGCCTGCTTTTCTGTTAATGGTACTCAGCAGCAGCAATCACCACAGTTCTGATCTTACCTTGTAAAGACATGCAAGAAAGGGGCTTCTAGAACTCTTTAGAACATGGCAAGGATGATGGGATAAGTATCCGTGTAGTGGAGGAAGTATTTCAATGGGGACTGATGGCCATGTGTCTTACTGCAGTAAATTTTTAGAATTTAAACATTCATTGTAGGGCTGGGGATTTAGCTCAGTGGTTCCGCTGCCTGCCCTGCAAAGGCAAGGACCTGAGTTTGATCCCCGGTACCAGAAAAAAAAATTCATTGTATATTTTGATCATACCTTATAATATTTCAGAAGATTACAGTTTCTAAAAAGAGGCGAAAGTCAATGCATGAAAAATAAGGTTTACAAGAGAAAAGAAATAGTCTGTTTTTGGATTTCTCAGCAGTAATGGATGCCAACAGGCAATGGAGAAAAAAATCAGTACTTTGAGGAAAAACATTTTTCAACACAGATTTCTAATCTAGACCGTGAGGGTAAATCAAAGTTTCTTCTAGATATTCAGAAACTCAGAAAATGACTTCTATATTTCCTTCTTAATATTATAAAAACTTCAGACAAATTAAGTTTGTATGTGTTTAATTAAAAAGAAATTTGCAAATGAGGAGTCCTTGAAACCAGAGCAGGCTCAGAGAACTCTGGCCTGCAAAGTGGTCAGGCAGCACCTATCCACAGAAGAAGGGAGTGAGGTACAGAGGCGCCTCAGGTGGTTACAGCTTGGCCTTTGCTTTATTTGAACGTGGCCTGGTAGTTTCTCATCTGAGACTGGCTGCTGCTTAGCAACTGTGATTGACTGGGACTCGGCTATGCATAGATGTGTACTCCTAACTCAGGTTTCTGTTAGGTTCCATACTGAGTTAGGTTGCAGCTCCTTACATGAGGACTCAAGTATGGAGGTATCTCCAGGCCAAACTGGGTTTAATTTAGCACTAAATTATTCAGCTCTAGCATACTGAGAGAGAAAAATCAAGGAGGAGAATAATGAAGGATCCAGGAAACAGCGAGTATGGTGTGAACTAAGAGAATCACAGAGATTCTAAAGGTGTGAGCCCTGATATTCTTATTAAGTGAGATGAATAATTATCTATTGTTTAAATTTTTCAGTCTGGGTTGTCAGGCATTTGTATCTCAAAGCATCCCAATGTCTACAGAGGCTTCCTCTACAAATTAAAAATCCCTGGTCCAAACCTTTCTCCTTCCTCAGAGTAGTTTCCAGTCTATCTCAGCTATGGCTGGGATTTGGGATCTGATTTTTTTTTTTTTTTAACTACATTTTTGTTTTGTTTTTGTAGACTCAACTTCCCGTTTCCTGGGCTCAAAGATGAGTTCCAATGTCCTCCTTAACATTTCTCCCATGAAGCTTAGGAGTCCACATGCAAAAGGACCCAGATGATGATGTCGCTTTCCAGTCTTCCTGATGTAGGTGTGCAGATTAATTTCCTGGATGGCCTCCTGCTCTGGGTTTGCAGAGCTCGCAAGCCTAGTCCCTCAGTGCTCTGGAATAAAGACAGCTCTGTGGACCACGCTTTTGACCACTCTCCGAGCTTGGAGAGTCAGGCAGTATATTAGCACACTAATCTCTGAGAACCCCACAGTAAAGAAACTTGATTTATGTTTGCTTAACTCAGCATCTTCTCTACATGGCTGGACACAGAATCCCTCTCCTCACTTTTTGTCTGTTGTAGGGAACAAGTAATTTTTCTTCGCCCAAGGCCAGGGTCCTGGATGAGACACCTATAACAAAAGACAAATCAATAAGAAAAAAACATACAAATATATTTAATATGCTTTATAGGACATGACAGCCATCAGAAAGGAAGACCCTAAGAAACAGAAAAATGTTGCATTGTTAATTGTCATGCAGAAGTATAATTGGAGACCAAAGGGAATGATCTAATGATATATAATGAACAGGAGAGAACTTAGCAAAGCCTTTGTGTTGGATTCTCTCTGTCTTTGTTTCTTTCTTCTGAGTGCAGTGAAGCCCTTTCTGGAACGATGGTCTTATACTTATTTAGAGGAAGGTCAGAGAATCATTTTAAGAATTGATTCAGGGGAGAATAGCTTGAGGCATTCCTGCTTCTGCTGTTTTCTTAAGTGCTAAGATGCTATACAGTATTTGGGGGTCACTACTATCATTCTTTAACATCCTAAGAAACTAGGTTTTCCTAGAATACATTTTGACAAATGGTATTCTACCAATCAAGCCGATCTATGCAGTTGTATGTGAGCTCACTGTTTGTTTTACTTTTGACACAATTTCCATTATGAGCTACAATATATGTTAGCTCATTCTGCTCTGCATCGTGTTTGGAAGAGATGGCCACTAGGTCAGTCCCCGGATTGAGGTCTCTTGTCATCCAGAACAGCTGGTGTTGCTACCATCAAGCAAAGACAAAGAAAGAAACCCTTCTGTGAACCCCAAGCCTTCTGAATACCTTCAAAACTGTACCTGAAGATGTATAAAGATGACATAAAATCATGTCAAGCAACTGCAACAAATAGAGTGAAAATTACATACATGCCAAGGGAGCAAGAATAAATGGGGAACTAGAACAACATGCATGCAGAAGCTTAATAAATATTTTTGATGGTGACATGATGATGATTCGAAATAGAGAAGCTCGGTGTGTGGGTCCCCGAGGGAGAGCAGTGAGGGCAGGGCACCAGAACTCTGACAATGAGATAATTGACTTGAGCTTGCTCTTGTGTCAAAGCCAGCAGCTGGTGGGCCTTGCCTTTTGGCAGTTTTCACAGCCACTGTCCTGCCCTTCCCCCTCGTCACAGAAAGAGTGGAAAGGTAATGCGTAGAATATCTGGTTAATGGAGGAGGTGGAATGCTCTGGCTTTGCCCATTCCTTTGAAGCTGAATTTTAAAAGGGAAGTTAATTAAATGCAATAGGACCTGCAGCTTCCTTAGGAATCAGGTATTTATTTGCTTTTGTAACCTTCAGTGGACACTGAGCACTTAGCACTTGACTTGTCTTGGCGCATACACAAAAGACAGTGTGTGTGGTGGTTTGAAGCGATTGTGGAGTCAGACAGACTTGTGTTTGAATCCAGTTCTGCCAAGTACTTGCTATAACTGAGCTAGTATTTGACTGTCTTTTTTGAATCTTGGCATACTTGGTTATAACAAAAAAGGGCTAATGTCTTCCTCATGGTGTTAATACAAAGACTGAATGAAATAAGGCGCAGAAAGTAGTACTTAGCGGACTGTCAGGCACATAGGCAGGGCCCGGTAATTAGTGCTTTCCCTGTAGTGCTCCTGCTATCTCCTAGCTATGTGTTCCTTGAGGGTGTGGTCTTCCACCTTTGGAGCTTTGACTCTGTACACAGCAATTAACACTTAATTGATATTCTACAATTATGCTGACACAGTTTAAGGGAAAATATGGGCAATTATCCATTTAACCTGGAAACTTTAGTCTCCTAAATGAAATTTTTGTTATGGTCTAATTTGGTTATATGGCCAGATTAATGCCGAGATAATGGCCACGTTCATCGTTCTTGAAGACTGGTGTTGGCGCTTTTGCCACTCACTTTTTACAAACATGCACTTGGTTGCTTCAGAAACCTAAGCTCTGCTGTCCCACCCTTCCCGCGTGCCTTGAGGGCTGAGGGTGAGAATCAAGCTCCCCTCCTGCGGACAGACTTCTCCAGGCTGAAGGACACACCTCACCTTTGACCTGCACCGACTGCTGGCTCTGGCAGTGTGGGCAGCCAGGGCTGGCTGGGATGCGTTCACGAAGAGCTCAAGGCCAGGCCATCACCCTGGCGGTCACGCACACCCACGGGACCGGAAGTACGCGGGAAGCACATCCGGGTGAGGGGCTGCATCTCTCACCTTCGGCACGTAGGTAGCACAGGGCCCTGGGGACTTGCAAAGCCGCAAGCCGGTGCGGCCGTTGTGCCAGCCCACGGGGGAGTGGCATGGGAGGCGAGTGGCCGGAAGGGGAAGGGAGCCTGCTCGGGCATCTGCCGCACTCTTCCGCCTGCCAGTCGCAGCAGCAGCAGCAGCAGCAGCAGGGTGGCACGGCCTCCCCACCCAGCAAGACATAACGGCCGCTCGCCGGCTCGAGAACATGCTCCCGGGAAGCCATTAACATTCGGGGCTCAGCTGCGTTAGCCCAGTTGCCATGGCAATGCTGGGAAATATATTTTGTGTTCGATGGTTATTTCTCCACACTAATGAAAAGGATATTTTTCTTCAGTGAATTGAATCAAAACTAATTGAGTAGTAATCAGCTCAGACCCTGAAGTTCAGAGAAGTGTGGTCTGACTAGTGCTCTGCAGGAATGCAGAAACCATTAACTATCTTCAAATGAGATTTTTTTACATTAGTGAAATCTTAGCAGCCTATTACAGGCGGTGTGAGTGTTATACACCAGACGTTCCTCATTTCTTTAGTGCTGGGGGTGGTGGTGGTGGTGGTGGTGGTTATTGTCTATTAATTCCAGTCCTGATAGCATTCTATATTTTTTTGTGCTGTCTCCCCCAATAAATATCCCAAACTGAAGTGTGCTCTTAGATGGATCTATCTATCATCTATCTATATCTATTCACAATTTGGATTATCAGATATTTTCAGAGAAGAGTACTTTTGCTGAGACCAGCTGTTCCTGAGGCCCATGCAGCAGTGGAGATGACAGAAGGACTTTTTTATTTTTTGTGGCCTTAGAGCACTACCCCTCCAACTTCAAATCTTACTGTGAGGGCAGAAGCTGCAGCGTGGACTGGAAGACGCAGAGTCACGTCTTTATCACTGCATTCACCTACAAATTATTATCGATTCATCTGATTGTTCCTTTTGCTTCTGTTTGGACCGTGAAAATAAATAAGATGCAGGTTAGGAATTAATCCCCCTAGCTAAGAGCACCATTGTCTACACTACTGTAACAGGTATTCCTCACCTTTGAATAGCGGGCTCACAGCAAACAGACAATGGTTATATGCAGATGACAGTTGCTTTGCTTCACTGTGATAGGCTGGAAAATTTCCCCTGAATCTTAGGACAGCTGGCCTGTGGGCTGTGGCCCAGCAGTGGACTGGCGATAACTAAACGAGTTCCGGTTTTCAAAATTATCCTTTTTGTGGAGTCCACTGAGATTCAGCTGAGTCCCTTCCATCCTCTGGGGCTTCTCAGTGTCAGCGGCCACTTGGGAGACAGGAGTGTTCATCCCTCCCCTCAGCTGGCTCTCTGGCTGGAGGCTGGATCTGGGAGAGGGAGGTCTCTAAGCTTGGCAGGTGCAGGCTCAGTAGGGCTAGGGTAGCAGGTGAGGGAAGAGGAAGCTGCAACCAGCGTCTGACAAACGTCATTTCCCTGGGACTCAGTGTCTAATGCTTCTGACCAGCACTAAATTCACATTAAAAACTGGTCGTGCCAGACCTGACGGTGCATGCTCACATTTCCACGAGGGAGCAGGGAGTCATCTCCACACTCGCCTCCTCTCTTACCACCTGTGGGTCTCCATGTGGGAGAAGACTCACTCTCATCTCACCATAGCAACTTCTTGCATCTCAGTGGGATGGGGTGGGGGGTAAAAGGCAAGAAATGCCACATTTGGGGGACTCAGGAGCAACTCAAAGAGGAAATCCCTTTGCTAGAAATAAACACGATAAGGTGCAGGGGCGATAGAAGAGAGCAGATTTATGGTTTATGACATTCCTAAAATATCTTTATTTAATAATGAAAACTTCATTATCCAGGCCAGCGTTGAAGTGTTGCTGAGGGGCCTCTGAGGATCCCAGCAAAGATCTTTCATCTTGACAGAAGTTCTAAATTACAGCATTAGTGCTCTAACCGAGAGGCTGTTATTGCCTATTTGGTCTGTCCAGGGAAGTGAGACACACATTGCTGGAGAGGGGCTTATTGAAATCTAATAGCTTAGAATATTAAAAATGGGGGCTGGGTACGGGGGAGGTCTCTCTCCTCTCTCTCCCTCTCCCTCCTTCTCCTCCTCCATGAGCTGGGGATAAATTAAGTGATAAACCTGGGATGTTTACCAAAGTTTCATTATTTTCCAGGAAAGAAAAGTAATTCATCTTTATTATGGTCCAAGCCATTATTACGTTTCACATCATTAAGAAACCAACATAAGGAGACCCCTAAAGCTAATTTCAGATCAATTGTATGACCCTGTTATCCCTTTATTTTCATCCCAGTTACCTCGGCCCTTCTTTTCACTGCAAAGCCTGACCTCCACGGAAGTGTTTGGGCTTCAGATGTTTCAAAGACAATTAGGTACAACTGGCTCCCCGTGTTTGACTAATGGTCAGAATGAATAGCTCTCCAGATCCTAGTTCAATTTCCACCCCTTCTGGCGGGGCAGGAGATGGCTCACCTGCCCCAGTGGCGTTGCAAAGGGGTCACATGGGGAGCTGAGGGCTATACAGTCTTTTCTTCCCTTTGCTGTCTGGCTTTTCCTTCTTTAACGGCCTACCTCCCACCAACACAAACACATCGACCTTCCTTTTCTGATGGCAGTGTCTGAGGCCAGTCTCCCAAAGAGGAAGGCATTCGCCTATGTAGTGTAATAACAGCGACAAAAGAGTGGGTTTAGTGTGTGCTAGACATGTGTTAAGTGCTGTCAAGGTAACATCTGATTTAAGATTTACACCCATCCTATGAAGTCTATGCTACTATTATCCTCACTTTAAACTGAAGAAGCTGGAGTCACAGGAAGCCAACCAAGACCATGCAGCAAGGTCTTGAGCGCAAGTCTTCTCTTTGAAAAGCTCAACATGCTGCCTTAGCCCTACACTATATTGTCTCTCGTATATTGTGGCAAAGCACAACAGCTCAGTGTTACAGCCAAGTGTTACAGCTCTGTGTTACAGCTTAAGTGCTACCACTACAGCAGTTTCAAGACTCGAGAATCCAAGTCACTCAAAGAGATGGAGAAAAACCTTTTTTAGCCCCGCAGGCTCAGAGGAGTTCATATTCCTAAGTCTGAGTGCTTGAGCAGAAATGGGAGCATCCTTATATAGGGATCTATGGAATAGGCAAGCGTGCTCACTGATGCAGGGCAGCACAGTTACAGAACATTCCTGAAAGGAGCAGAGTTAACAATATTCCTGTAAGGGGGCAGAGTTAACAGAACATTCTTGAAAGGTCAGTCGTAGCTCAAACAGTTACAAAACATTTTGACACATTGGCAGGAACACCTGTTGCACAAACGGTTACATTTTTGGAACAAAGCATTTTATGGAAGAAACATGGTGGGGGGTGCTAAGGCTTGCCCTGTGCATTATTGGTCCATCAATGTGGTAGTGCTAAAAGTTTTCTCCTGCCAGGTGGATTATCCTAGTAACACCATCCCCATTCCATTATGGTTGGCATTAAGATGAAATCATATTGGTTACTCCTTTGCCTTCAGAAAGAATGGAAATCCACTCTGAAGTGGAAATGTATTTCCTGGGGGAGAGTTGGATGTTTACTGCCTAATCTTGGCCAGGGAAGGCACATCGCTGCTGAATGTGGATAAAACTGCACAACAATTTGGTTTTCCTAAGTGAGAGACAGTATTGAAAAGGTCTCCCTAAGGTGCGGTACCCCACAGAGATGTATCTTTACATGTAAATCATCATTTTGATTATCTGGAATGACTTTCATTAGTTGACACCTAACTATTGTTAACTTTATTGATTAGCACATAGTAGGGTCCTGAGACCCTATTGAGAGGTTTAGGCCAGTGCTGTTGGAGAAAGACCAAGAAAGATTCTAATCCTGGGAACAACTCAAAGTGAGCCAGAGAGAAGCACTTTACATGGCATCCTGAGCAAGCAGAGATATGGGCCCTAGTGGTGGCCCCCAGGGTGTGCGAACACACATCCCCGGTGCAAATGCCCGCTTATGCACTCACTGGACATAGACTGTAGACAAGAAGGAGACAGAAAGTAAGAAGAAAGCTCACAGCCTCCAGCAGCGCCACAAGGGCTCAACAAGAGACTCTTTCACTGCAGGGCTGGCCCTTGGTGTCTGTGCCAGTGGCTTCCAAGCCTGGCCAGGGCTCAGAAGGAGGACTCAAGGGTTTCCCCATGCACTCACTACTCAAGCCTGATTTAGTAGACAGGGTTGGGCAGGTGTAAGTGCTTGGGAACGGACAGGCATTTTCACTTTTACAATGGCTTCGGGGCGACATCCCAGAGTGCGTGAACACCAACCGTGTCACTCTCCTTGTACACACCAAGCCCTCCCTTCTTCTCTGTTAAACTACACCTGCTTCACTAGCGCCTACCCCACCGCTCTCGAGGTGAGCAGCCCAGTGGCACCCTCCTGCCCCGCCCAGGTTGGGCTACTCTGCCAAACACTCTGAGCTCTTTGGCTTCCAAGTAGTTGCATGTGTTAGGTACAGGGTGGATCTCCATGAATAGGGAGCAGGAGCTGTTTGTTTCATGGGACACTAATCTCTTTTCAACACCTGGAATAGATCAAAACATGTTGGTGATCATACAAGACTGTTATTGTTTGTCTCATCTGGCTCCTCTAGCCATTGTACACTAGTACTGGGGACTACTTAGTACTAAGGATTGAAATTCAGAGGAAAAAAAAGGTGAAGATAAAAGAGAAACGAAGCAGTGAAGGGGGAAGAACAAACACAAGGTGAAGCATTGCTAAGCCACCAACAGCTCTGTGACAAGTGCAATTGATTGCTTGGCCTTTTCTGCTTGGACCTCCAGAAAGGCTGCAGGAGTCACTGTGGGCTGTGGTTTGGATGAATCTTGGTTCCCCGTGTGGTGGTGGAACCTTAAAGAGGTGGTTCCAGTGCAAGGTAATTCAGTGATGAGAGCATCACCCTTGGAAGCGATTAATGCTAGTCTTGAGCAGTGA